GCAAGTTTGAAGAAGTCCCTATCAGATTACACTTTGTTGGAGGGATGAACAGGCCTGCATGGAAACTGAATGAGGTTGTGAGAAATTTAGTTTTGGATTGTTTTATTTTAGGCTTGTCTTAAACGGATCACAGAATAGAATGTCTGTCTTCTCACCCCTATCCAGATCCAGGAGGAATCAGTTTACTGTCTGTGGCTTTACTAAAATGGTTGGTTGATTCCATAAGAGCTTAGGCCTGGAGTGGGGTTGGTTTAGGGGCCGGGAGTAACTGAGAAAGGAACAGGAGACAATGGAAAGAGCTTGTACATTCAGAATCAGGATTTTTGGGTTCAGCGTATGACATACTCACTTGACCTTTACAGTGACCTTTTTGTGGGGAAGATGGCCCACTGTATAGGCACCAGTACAGTAATAGGCTAATAGCAGGATGTGGGTTGGGAAAAAAACTGGACAAAACAAAACATTCTGGGTTCCTCAGACACAAGGCATTTATTAGTAGTGATTTAGTTGTTCTGAGAATTCTTCCTTCTGGTGTCTCTGGTGGGCCTTCCTACTGTACAACCGTGGGACTAAATCCGTTTGAAAGACAGGCTCCGGGGCCTGCTTCTTTCTTCTGCCTGGCTTTTTTTCCCCACTGCTGTAAGTTGCTGACCCGCTTTGTTGTTCCCCTTGTACTTGGGCCATAACTCCAGCTTCTGTAGGTGGAAAGTATGTTTGTGGGAAGGCCCTTTGAGGAAATTGGTTGGAAAAGAAAACTTGGAGTGAGCTGGGACTTAGGAAACTAGCTGCTCTCTCGTATGCCGTGTCTCTTGGCCTGTGATAGCGAAGAGGGCACGTGAAGTTCCGTTCATCTTCCTATTCTAGGCCTGTTTGAAAATAATCATGCTACCTCAGCCCACCTCTCCCTTTGTCTCCCTCCTTGTTGGCTAGTGTCCAGTCTCATAATTCCTCTTTGTAGGAGCAGGTTCACTCCTTGGAGGCAACCCCACAGAGAATTCATATTTCCCCTAGTTTCCCTGCTTCCTTCTCAGAGCTGGGTCCACACTGCATGAGAGCATGTTTGCTAGACACTACTCAAAGCAGCAGATTGAGATTCTTCGGTTTGGGGAAGAAGTTTGAGAGGGGCCTTTCAGCAGCTGGCATAAGACAAGAGAGGGCCTAATTCAAGTGCATCTGGGGCTTGCAGCAGGAAGAAACAGTTCAGAGAGAGGTGAGCATACAGATTGCTTTCTTTGCCATCTGTCTGTTTCAGCAGGGGCTCCCAGAGCTGGCTTGGGCTGTCTGGCTGGAATCTGCTTATACCAGCTCTATAGCCCTGAACAGAGCTCTCAGCCTGATTCAATATTGACTTTACCCTGAGACCACTGCCCTCCCTGCCCTCCTCCTGGAAGCTTGAGAATGTCCTCTGCCCTGATGCCACTCTGCCTTGGGCCTTGGATAAGCATTTACCTGATTCCTGATGGGGCTTGAGCCTGTTTGACTGCTGGGCTCTGTTTCTGTAAGGAAAAGGTGGTACTCAGGTTCCACCTTTACCACTGAGGTTAAGGGGGAAAGACGAGCTAAGACCTCGTTACAGAAGAGTTTAAGTTAGACTGGAGCCGTGAGGAGGGAATTCTCAACGGCGGAACAGAAGGCTGAGCATGATTAGGAGTCTTTTTTTGAAGAGCAAGTTCTTTTTAAAAATTATTATCAAAGGCATATATGCGTTTGGCAGCAAATCCAGTGGTACTTAAGAGTTTACGAGGACAACCAACAGTCCCTTTCCCTTCATCCTGGCTCCTATTCCCTTAGAGTTAACCTCTTAGTTATTTTAGTTTTTGTCTCTGAAGGTTATGGTGCCTCTATTTCCTGATTTATTAATTGTTACAAAAGAGAATTGAACTTTAGAAGATTTGTACCTCTTACTTATATAGTTATGTTGTTTTTATAGAAGTCTGTGTGACTCTAACGTTGGAACTTTCTTTTCTTTCCATTAACTTTTAACAGCCTCGGTTAGCTACCCACCTTGCAGGATAAAGACACTGGCTCCACTGCTCTTTCTCCCAATTCACGTGATCCATCTCAGCAGGATCCTTTAAAAGGAGGTGGAAGATTGAGTTCACCTATCTGTTTGGAGGCAGAGCACTAAATTAGATGATCTCTTAAGGGCCATTCTATGAAAATACAGGAACATAAAAAAAAAGAGAGAATTGGTCTGAACCAATCCATATTTATCTAGTTTATGGGAAAATATTTCAAGAAGGGGATAGTGATTAACTAGGTGAAGGAATCATTTTGGGGCTCTTTACCGTCCTGTCTGAGCAGAGACCAATCTAGTAAGTTCTTTAGTGGAGGCCAGTGGAGGGTTGCTCATCTAGACTCTTTTGAGGTGTTGAGAAGGGGGAGGCCAGGGTAAGTAATAGCGTTCCCCCCCCCCACCCAGGAATCTTCTGCAGACGTTTACTTAAGTGCTCAGTCACACAGAACACTTGCATGTACACCCTCTCTGGCCTCTACCACTGCTGCTCTTCTGTTTTGCCCTGATCAGCCCTCTGATGCTCAGATGAGGATTCCCTGCATTGTCCACATATAAGCTGTGAAGCCCGGCCGGTTGTCATCACGCCCCCACTCACACTCCCCTTCCCTAGAAGCCAGCTGCTAGGCTGGGGCAGAGGAGGCCTCTTCCGTTCCCTCCCCGTCTCCCTAGAAGGTCAGTTTAGGCTCCCAGTGCGAAATGTGGAGCCTCAGTTGTCTGGATGTCTTTGAGAGCCGCAGAGTCATTTGATATTAAATGTTTGGATTTTCTTCTCTCATGTTTTTCTTATTCTCTGACTAATTAGAGGAAGAGTGGTAAATACAGAACCTGTTTCTTCCTTTTTCACCTTCTAGTCCTTTTGCTCTCTTGAGAATGGTTATTTATCAGAGCTGTATTTTCTTCACATTTGAAAGTGAATGAATCGATGCTGAGGACCATACCTGGGTTTAGGCTTTGGAGAATCCATTTCTTGTTGTTTAAATTACCAAAACAACCTACATTTCCTTCAACACCTCCTTCTCTCCATGACTTGCTTCAGATGCAGGCACTTCCTAAGGGTCAGAAAGGCCAGGAGGGAGGCCCAGCTCCAGTTTGGTAGTTTCTAGTGGCTGCCTATTCAGGAGAGGAGTTTGGTTTTCTTCCACCTCTTGTCATCGTCTGTTTCTGGGGAGTAAAGGCTGTGAGATGGGGCATCTGCTCTGTTCAGTGGGGAGGGCCCCTAAATACTGTGATGCGGGATTCCTAACTGAGGCCTGAGATAAAAGAAATGGTGGTCTCCTTCATGCTCTTCCTGATGCTGGTAATAATCCCATTGGTGACCCTTTGCAAATCTTCTGCATTTCCTAGTGAAATCTGAGACGCTGTGTGGGACAATGTCTGAACTTCATTTCCCTTGGAAGTTTTAAAAAAGTGGACTTTTAGCAGCTTTTCATGACTTGAAAGTCTCTGGAGTAGAGGAAAAGAAAAATGTCCCAAGCATAGAGAAATTGAGGGAAAAAGAATTGGTTGTATAAGACATTTAAGGCTGTTGTGTGAGTTTCTGAACAGACCCAAAAGGTAGTGGTCCCATGGGAATTTGGGTGACCCTCTGGTGCAGAGTGTCCCATAGTGGTGTGGCAGGGAGTAAATAAAGCTTCTTCCTTCTTATTCCTGTGCAACGCATACTGCAAGTAGAGACAGATCCACACAGGCAGCCATGCTGGTCCTGCTGCTCAGATGGCACTGCCTAATTTGGGAGAGAGCCCAGTGAAAGAGTTGCCACCTTTTTACGGATACCAAGTTCAAAGGGCGTCAGCGAAATTTAATTTGGGGGTGAACTTCTCTCTTGACAGTCGGGAGAAAGGCAAACTGAAGCAGCTTTTTTTGGTGGTCTCTGAGAACAGAAGAGTCCCCCATCTGTCTTCCTGCAAAACTTCAGAGGTGACTGCTGGCAGGAGCCGGACTGTAGACGATTAGGCAGATCAAGGTAACCTTGACTCTTAACATTTCCGAGGTGCAAGAAGAGGCACTGGAAGAGTGGAAACGGGGCTTCCAGAGTGACTGGAGGATCTGTGTCTCGAGCCATCTTCCACCTTCCCAGGGTCACTAGTGTTAGGGGTGATGTCACTATTGGAAATTACCTGCATTCCAGCTCCACAATAGCTTCTGCCTTCCTGTTGCTCACACTCTTGAGTGTGTCTTAGACTCACTCTATTTGCATTTTTGTACAGAGGCCTCAGCCCACTGCTGACTGCAGCCGGACTCGAGCTAGGCTGAGCTCACGTTACCAGCATGCCTCACCCCGTTCTTGCTTTGAAGTTTCCTCCTGTTCCGCGCTGATTCTCCTGATCTGGGTTTGTTGGGGCTCTGAAGAATCGTTCGAGGAAGGCAGTAGCTTTTGCCAGCAGTGTTGTCACTGATTTTACTCCTGAGAGTTCCTTCAGGGAGGGGTTCTTGGTTATGTGATTCCTGTTCCTCCCTGTTCTTTGGGCATTCGAGACGTGTGAGTTCCAGCCTTATTTCTTTTTCGCCTTCTCCCAACTCTCCAGTTCTTGGAGTGTGTGTATGAGAATTGGGAAGGTAGTGTTGGGATTAGGACAAGGCTGTCATAAATGTTACGGAAAATTCTCAAGTACAAGTGTAACTGGAATTCCCTTCCCTTATAAACAGTACGTGCGTGCGCACACACAGGTACACAAGCTGCTACTGGCCTTTCAGGTGATTAGGATTCAGCGAGAATTTGCTGAGTACCGTATGCCAGGGACTGTGCTAGATCCTCTTGCACACGCAAAGGTATTTATTCTGCACAGCAACAATGGGAAGTAGGTATGTTTCCCCCATTTTGCAGTAGAGGAAACTGAAACTCAGAAGATACATGGTTTGCATAAGTTTACACATCTCATAATGGCAGGGCCAGGATTTTGAATCCCAGCCTATTTGACTCGAAGTTCAGGAGCCTTCCCACTGTCCTTTAGCTGCCACAGCACTGGAGAAAGAGAGAGTGATGTTATGGAGTCAGACGAGCAGAGAGATGGCACGCTTCAGCAGGGTTGATGATGATGGCTTTAGAGCTGTTTTCTCAGTGAAGACTGGCACGGTATTTGCTGGCTCTTATTTCTTGGGAACTTTGAGTCTAAAAGGCAAGGTAAGAAAGTATCTCTAACTAGAAAAATACATCAAGATTTTAATACTAAATAAAGGTGGAATGCTCAGGACTGTGTGTGGAATGTTATATGAGTAAGGAAATACAGTTTAAAGAGAAAAAACGGTTATTGGCAGGCATTTAAAGGGAGTTATGGGAAGAGCATGAAGATAGAAAAGCATTCGAAGAGTTAGGGACAAGGGAATTAACACCAGACTTGCTTCCCGACCTACCTGAAGAACTTGTAAACCTATATAAACGTAACACATAAAGCAACATTTTGCAAAAAGTGTTAAGAACAGAGACTAAGCTAAGAAGCTAAGTGCAGAAGAGATGAAGAGTAAAGTATCGATCAGAAGTCTAGGTAGTCAGGGAAAGCTTCCTGGGAGGAGATGGCTTGTCATCTGCCTTTGAAGGAGCCCAGGAGGACACACAGAGAGGAGGTGCCAGGAAAAGTTCCGTGGAGAAGGGAAGACCTGAGGATGGCACCACTAACCGGCGTGTGTATGTCTCCCTTTCTTTTCCTTGCTCCCTTCTTCCCCCCCCATAGCTTGGAAGCTCGAAGGCTGGCTGTGGCCATGGGAGACACAGTAGTGGAACCTGCCCCCCTGAAGCCAACTTCTGAGCCCACTTCTGGCCCACCGGGGAATAATGGGGGCTCCTTGCTAAGCGTCATCACGGAGGGGGTCGGGGAACTGTCGGTGATTGACCCAGAGGTGGCCCAGAAGGCCTGCCAGGAGGTGCTGGAGAAAGTCAAGCTTTTGCATGGAGGCGTGGCCGTCTCTAGCAGAGGCGCCCCGTTGGAGTTGGTCAATGGGGATGGTGTGGACAGTGAGATCCGCTGCCTGGATGATCCACCTGCCCAGATAAGAGAAGAGGAAGATGAGATGGGGGCCACAGTGACCTCGGGCACAACCAAGGGAGCAAGAAGGCGGCGGCAGAACAACTCAGCCAAACAGTCTTGGCTGCTGAGGCTGTTTGAGTCAAAACTATTTGACATCTCCATGGCCATTTCGTACCTGTATAACTCCAAGGAGCCTGGAGTGCAAGCCTACATCGGCAACAGGCTCTTCTGCTTTCGTAATGAGGACGTGGACTTCTATCTGCCTCAGCTGCTTAACATGTACATCCACATGGATGAGGACGTAGGCGATGCCATCAAGCCCTACATAGTGCACCGCTGCCGCCAGAGCATTAACTTTTCCCTCCAGTGTGCCCTGTTGCTCGGGGCCTACTCTTCAGACATGCACATTTCCACTCAGCGACACTCCCGTGGGACCAAGCTACGGAAGCTGATCCTCTCAGATGAGCTGAAGCCGGCTCACCGGAAGAGGGAGCTGCCCTCCTTGAGCCCAGCCCCCGACACAGGGCTGTCTCCCTCTAAAAGGACTCATCAGCGCTCGAAGTCCGATGCCACCGCCAGCATCAGTCTCAGCAGCAACCTGAAACGAACAGCCAGCAACCCGAAAGTGGAGAATGAGGACGAGGTAAAATTTCCGGGGGGCCGGAGGGGCAAGGAAGGGGGCATGGGGACAGGATGTCTGGTACAGGGTTACTCTGTCCTTTTCTCTCCTTCCCTCTGTTTCATTTCGCCGATAGTGGAATGTTTAGAATGGAAAAAGCCCTTAGAATTCATGTATTCCAGCTGCCTCATTTTACAAAGGAAGAACTCGGAGACCCAGGAGAGATCAAGTGACTTGCCTCAGGTCATATGGCTAATGGCAGGGCTGATACTCCTGACTCCTCCTCTGTGTTTTTATTCACTGCTCTGCCATTCCATTAACTGCTTGCTTACCGAGAACTGGCAGAGACCCTCCCCACCCTGACTTGAAACCTGGGATACCTACCAGAACCTCTCAGAGCAGCAACCATGGGGAAGGATAAGGGACTCTGTGTGTGAATTTTGGGTGTGCTGGGGGTGGGGAGATGTTAAATAGAATCTTGGCTTCATTCTCCTGGCCATTCCTCCTCATAATCCCTCCTCCCACTCCCTGAAGATCATGTTCTTTGCTGACATGGGGGTAAGGTTCATTCCCTGTCACTGAGGCATCTGCAGGATGCCCTCCTGCCTGCCTTTCCCTGGGGGAAGGGATGTCTTGCTGGTATCATTCCCATGTCATTTGGGAGAAGCACAAAGGGAAGGGGGAAGACAGAGTAAATCTTCGGCAAACCCAGTGTCTAGTCAAGGACCTGAAGCCCAAGAAGAGAGAGCAGCATTTGCGGGATCCAATTTAAGGTACAGAGCATGGATGCGATAAGCACACCAGTAGGTTATACCCACCTTTCATTCCACATCTGGACAGGTAGCAGGGAAAGTTGCCCAGTGGACAACTGACTACCAGTGACCTGATGTCCAAGCCAGACAATGGTGCCCAGTCTCCGCCCCATGCCTGACTCACCGCCAGCCTGGCTCCCATCCTGGCTGCCAGCCTAGCCTAGGAAAAAGGGGAGAAAAGAAAGAGGAATTTGCACTTGTTGGAAAATGCATATAGCCGTGGTGCAGGCAATTCCTCTGTGGGGCACATCACCCACCCACATTTTTGATACAATGGGGCTTCTTTCAGCTAGAGAGGTCAGAGTGACTAGGGAAGGGGAGAGGCAGGAGGGAGGGAGACTACAGAGCCTAGTCTCCAGAAATTCAGTATTTTATTATGATAATAGTGAAGCTAAAGGATCTAACATTTATTGAGCACTTATTATGTGCCAGGCACATGTCAAGTACTTCCCATTTAATCCTTACAACAACCCTAAGAGACAGTTATTATTTAACCATTAAGGAAGCAGGCTTAGAGAGGTTAGATGATTTGCCCAGGGTCTCTCAGCCAGTGCGTATCAGACAAGGCCTCAGATCTTCCCCAGGTCCTCAGCTGTCAGAGTCCGTGTGGGGAAGAGCAGCCTTGGCCTTAGCTGTCAGGGTTTCCACATCCATGCACAGGCAGAGCCCAGCTGTTCTCAGAACCAGAATGTATCATTTTCATTTCTGGTTGAGATTGGCAGGGCAGCCCAGGGTCATGAAGGGAGGTCCTTGCAGAGCAAGAAGAATCACCCAGAGCTGATGGGACTAAGGTTGTGGAGGGTCTGGAGGTCGAGCCTGTGGCAGTGGGAGTGTGAAGTGAAGCAGCTGGAAGTGAAGTTCGTGGTGCCTCTTGTCAGGTGCCTCTTGGCTTTTCTCTGCAGACTTTTGTAGTTCTCACATTAGGACAAGAAAAGCTGAGGTCCTGGGCTTTTCTTACCCTTTTTGGTCCTTGGTCCCTCTTCCTTGCCTCTAACTCCTGCCCAGCATGGGGTTTGGGGTGACGATAAGACACAGGTATTCTGTGAGTACTTAAATCCTCTAGGGTGGCTTCTCTAGGTGCCATTCTTCCCAACCTGGCTCCTTTATCTTGGGTCAGTAGATCCAGGAAAGGAAGGAGATACTACATCCCCAGGTCCTTCTAGGTTATCTGATGCTGGCAGAAAGGGACGCTTGAATCCACTGTGGCTCCCTAGGAAGCGCGAGAGTGAGCGGGGCCCCAGGAGTCTCAGTATTGGAGTTTTCAGCACAGGCGACTTTCCAAACCCCTTTGGGACTTTGAGGATATATCTCTCAAGACCTTTGTCTCCCAAATGCCAAGGGAGTTGGTTTTCTTCTGCTCCTCCTCCTCCCCTGTCGTGCAACGGCCATTCTCTCAGCAGATGGATCTCGAGCTTGTATAGTGTGCAGAAGCCCTGTGCTGGAGGCAGGGGAGAGTGTAGGCTAAAACGCCGTCCTTCCCCCAGGAACTTACAAGGTAATATGGAGAGCCCAGAGTTCTGGGGAACTGTTTAGTTGGTGACTCTTGATTTTGTATCCTGAAACTTCATTGAATTTTTTAGTTCCAACAGTTTTTTGGTGGAATTCATGACTCTTTTGAAATGTCGTTTCCCTCATGTAAGGAGGAAGCATACAACTTACTGAAACAAAGCACGTAATTACCTAAGGTCTGAGCAGAGACCCTAAGGAGAGACACAGTGCTTCCCCGTGGGCTCTGAGTTTAATCCTAGGCTCCAACCACCAGGATAGAAGCTCTGGAGGGTGAAGTGAGGCCTCAAAGAGGAGGCCAGGTGCTTGTCCAGTCTCTTCCTGCCTGGACTCTCCCCACAGAGTTCTCTGCCCAGGTCTCACGGAGGGTTCTGTTTTCTTTTAATTAGGAATCCTTTCCACTGCCCCCTACAATCAAAGGGCTCTAGCACTGACTTCTCCCATCTCCCATCACTCCCCACCCCTCCAAGCCTACCCCTTCCGAGCCGTTTCTCTCAGCTTAGTCAGGGAGCTCTGCTCGGGCAGTTTTCCTTCCATTTGTAACCAAATGGTAAATATTTTGGCATAGGCTAGGGATGCAGAGAATGATTTAGGTACCATTCCCATCTTACATCCTGCCCCACATAATGACACCTGTAGATCAGCTTTGTCTTTTCAGGACTGCAACCTCTGTACAGAGAAAGCTGCTGCATATCACACTGGCAGCCCCAGTGGGCCTTCCAGCCTGATACGGTGTGATGTCAGCGTCTTGGCCTCAAGTTTTTCTCCTTGGAGCTGACTCAGTTTGAGTGACTCAAGCCTACAGAGTAGGAGAGAGGGGCGGGTCATGATATACCTCCCTTCCCCCAAGGCTGTTAATGACTCAGACAGGACCAGCCTGTCTGTGGGAGAATCAGCTGGAGAATTGGCTCATGGAACCAATATCCCATCCTGCCTGCTGTTCCCTCCCCAGCCAGCTCGTGAGTAAAAAGTGAAGCACTACGTTGTCATTTACTCTGGCATCCTCACTGCCTCAGTTCTCCGTCCCACTCCTACCCAAAGCAGAAGAGTTGCTACTTTGGGAGAGTGTTCGGCCTGGCTTCTTCCTCAAAGTGCCCCTTCTCCCCAGATTTTTCAAGAAAAGACCTGACTATAGGAACTCCAGCTAGACTAGAACTTACACTGTGGAACTGGATTATGTACATGCTTGAGATGCTAATTGCAGAGTAGCTTGGTGACCACTGGCCTCCTGCCCTGGGCGCTCCCAGGACTTTGTCTCTAAGTCCAGGCCCCTCCCTTCCTGCACGTTTGTGCACACGATTGCCCTTTCTCCCTGCCCTGGGAGACCTTGGTGGACAGAACCCAGGATGGGCCTGTGCATGAGCTGCAGGAGAGCTGCTGACTGAGTTTGACTGCCAGCTCTTTCCTCAGTTCTGCTCACAGATGCTCGTGGGAACAGGGTGAGGTCTGGCTAAATCCCCTGGGCTAGGCTGATGCTGCTCAGCTACTCAGCTTTCTCACATGGACTCAGCTGGGACCTAGCTCCCCAACTTATTTCCAAAAAATTGTAATTTTTTGAGTGTCATGCAAAACAGCCTCATAGGAAGCCACAGAGATTTGGTAAATAAGAGTTACTCATCCTTGACTCCCAGCAGCATCCAGCCCAGGGGTTTCATGCTCTTGGGTGGTCTCCTTTGTGACAGGATTTAAGGTTGAGATTAGGTATCCCAGGGTGATAATGAGGCTGATTAGAGAGGAGATGTACCTGGCGCTAAAGTCCAGCTCTTCTACTTCCTCCTTGACGTCTCCAAGGATATGCAGGAGCCTGGGGTTTCCCGTGTGCGGGCCGTGTGGCTTGTTGAACTCAGTCCCTCAGTGGTGGTCTCCATGGAGAAGGGGTTGGTTGAGGGCTTGTGAGTGGGTAAAGAGAAATCAGGGAAAGCTTGGCCGTGCAGAATTACCTCCCTAAGGGACCCAGCTTTAGGATTTTGTCCTGGAAAGACTTGTGTAGGCAAGAATAGATGGGAAGAAAGTGACAAGCAGAGGATGCTGTCGCTTCAGCCCTTCTGACCTCAAGGTCTGAGCTGCCCTTCCAGCATCTCCCACAAGTGTTAGGAATCTGGGCAAGTGGCATTTCTGGGTTGACATTCTTTCATCAAAGCAGAAAGGTAGAGCTACACGAGAGAAGCAGGTATGATCCAAGTTGGAGCTAAATTCTTTGCCTTTGTCTCTCTCCCCTCCCTCCCTGCCCCCTCCTTCTCCCCTTGCCCTCTGGCCCTTTCCCAGGAGCTCTCCTCCAGCACCGAGAGTATTGATAATTCATTCAGTTCCGTAAGTGGGGCCAGGCTGGGGCTGGGTGGCAGGCTCCCCCCATGGCCGCATTTCCTCTCCGTCCCCAGGTCTTCTGAGTCCTCAGGCCAAGGCAGGAGTTAAAAGGTGCCTTTTCTTTCTGGGAGATCAGCCCCTCCCTCCCAGGCCGCCCAGACTGGGAGGCGCCCCCTGCCCTTTGTTGCTAGTGCTGTGAGCCCAGGCTGAGTCAGGCTCAGTTGATCCTTCTCCCAGAGACAGCTGGGATGCAGTGCACCTCAGCCCCCAGCCCCTGGGTCTCTAGAGCAAACAGCTGGGAGAGCGGTAGAATTTACCCCTGGGTTGGAGCCAAGAACTGCTTGGCAGAAACCCCCAGGATCCTGTTTCTCCCACCCAGAACCTTTTCCCCATGGCTTCCGCCATCAGACCATCAAATACTTATTCAGTGTCTTCTAAATGCCAGGCCCTGTGCTGGGTGAACTGACTCCAAAAGCAAACAGGATTTGGCCTGCAGAAAAGTTTTACCTCCCCGCAGCCGGCTTTCTTGTTAACTTCAACCACATTTCTTCCAGGTCTGAGTTCTTCCCTTTCCCAGCTCGCTGCCCAGGATGTTCCTTGTTCTACGTTCTTATTCCCTCTGGACTAACCCCTGACCCTCTGGTCCCACAGGGTCTCGGACCTTGTTGCTGGGCAGAGACGTGAGAGGAAATGCTGGACCCTCTGGGAGTTTGGATGATTTTTTAACATTTTATTTTTAATTTGTCTACCCAATCAGTTTTCTCTGTTCTGTGCTGCTCCCCTTTCAGGCATGATTCCTGTCTCCTCCCATGTGGCAATGCCTCCCTCTCGAGGCCTGGGGTCACATTTCCAACGTGCTGACATGACTTAGGGGCCCCTGACCCAAATGCTGAATTGAGGATGGGAAGGAATTCTGATCTTTCTAATCTGAGGTCACTATGACTTGGTTGGGGTGGAGGGTCCTTGGGACAGTGACCATTTGCCACCTGAGTGGATGGATTAGGGGATCAGAATGAACGAAGGAATGAGTCTCCAGATTTACTCCTCCTGTCTTTCTCTTTTTCTGTTAAGTCCCTGGGACATTTCCAGGGACCATGGAGACCTAGTTCTATCACCTTCCTGTCTTTCTCTCTTTTCATCTCTGCCTCCCAGACCATTCCTGACGGATTCAGACACCCTATTTCATTACTGTATGGGGCCCTGAGCCAGCCCCCACTGTTGGATAGAGGCTGAGAGATGAGCTGTTCCTTTGAACCCTGGCTCTGTGCATATGCAGAAGTGGGCTTGGTACTGCCCAGCTTTCAAGAGAAGCTCTTTTTTGCAGTGTGAGGGAATGAGGGTAGAAATTCTCACTCAGGAAACTAAGCAAGACACAGCACACAGAGAGGGAGAGGAAAGCCTGGTGAGTGGAATACTGTTTCTGTAAGAGGAGGAGATACTGCTCTTACCGAGCTGAGGAGAGATGGGACCAGAGCTGGGTGGCTCTCTTGGTAAAGTGCCCCTTACAGTAGAAGAGCCGAGGCTGGGAAAGAGCCCTTCTTCATGTCTGGCTGAGCCCATCTTTTCCCCACCGCCCCCCTCACTCCCCAGCCTGACTTTGCCCTTGCTGGGGATGACTGAAGTGCTGGGCGTGAGGAGCCATGCTCACAGGAGGGAGCTAATGTGGGGAGACTAATCCCTGAGAGGAAGGCGAAGAGGCCCCACGAGGAATCACTGAGAGAGACAGGCCTTCAGGGCCATCATCAAGGGCTGAAAAGACCTGTGGTTTTCTCCACCCACCTGCCCACACCTCCCTCCCTCCATCTGCTTTTTCTTTCCTCGTTGATTGTTCCTCATTAACGCAAAGTCTGCTCATCTCCTCATCCCCTGCATGCGCACTGGCCCCTGGTGAGAGATCGCGGGCGGTTGGGGGGTGCCATGAAAAGCAATAAAAGTCTCTTGAATGGAATGAGTCCTCCTTTGAAAGGGGAAATCCTCACAGCTCCCCTCCCTAGCCTTGTGGGCCCTGGCACAGCCCCTCGGTGGAGACCCAGCCCAAGGAGCCAGATGGGGAGAGGGACCACCTTGTTCTCGAGGTGGGTGAAGCACGTCAGGTGTGAGCAGCTCTTCTCTGGGGCCCCGGCTAGCCTCGCTGGCTGTCGTTCCCACACTTGTCTTGAAGCGTTGAGCCAGGTCCTCAGGAACCCAAGACCATGAGGAGGGGGGTGCCTTCCAGTGACCTGGATTCACACCCCTCTTCCCCTCAAGAAACAGCCTCTGGAGCAGGAATATGCTGGCTCTTCCACCTGTCCCCAGTTCCGGTTGACAGGGGTGGGTGGGGTCTCCTAAAAGGGCCAGAAGGTAGCTCCTTCCCTGGAGTTCCCGAGACACTGGGACCCCTGGTCTGCACGGCCAGGGTGACTGCGTGGGTGGCCACTTTTTCCTATGGTTTCTTCACCATGTTTTACTTCACCCCAACCCTCTGTAGCCCGTCAGACTGGCTCCTGAGCGAGAATTCATCAAGTCCCTGATGGCGATTGGCAAGCGGCTGGCCACGCTCCCCACCAAGGAGCAGAAGACACAGCGGCTGATCTCAGAGCTCTCCCTGCTCAACCATAAGCTCCCTGCCCGAGTCTGGCTGCCCACCGCCGGCTTTGACCACCACGTGGTCCGCGTGCCCCACACCCAGGCTGTTGTCCTCAACTCTAAGGACAAGGTAGGTGGGCCCTGGCCCAGACCATATCCCTCATCGGACTACTCCCGTGGTTGTGCAGGTTTGTGTATCTGCCCAGGGAAGCCCCTCCAGCACCCTAGACTCGCTCCGTAGCTCACGTGCACGTGTCAACCCTTGACTTTACCTCAGCGCCATTGTGATTCTGAGGGCCCTCTTGCTCCCCTTGTTGGACTTTGTTTTTCTGGACCAAAGAGGCCTGATCTTTTCGGCTTGCCTTTTGCTGTGTCTCGGGAGAGAGCCGCCCTCCTGACGGGCCTTTTGGTGACTCTCTTCCAGCCCTTCTATAGCTTAGGCTTTCCAGGTACAGCAACAGTGAGGGTAGAGAAATCTTTGTTTCTGAGACCATTTGTGATCATAGTGAGCAGGAAGAAAGAGAGAAGGGTGCCCACTTCACATCGGAGAGAATTAGCTAAATTAGTCTGCTGGTTGAAATGAGTGCTGATGGTTCAGATTTTTTTTTCAGAAGATGTATTAAAGATTAGAATGCTGCTTAGAACAGTGCCCAACTTTTTCCCAGTCTTTTTGTCGGTTTTTAGGACAAGCCCACAGAGGCTTTCAGGCCTCTCTGATGGGTGCTAACTGATAGTTGGGAATGGGTTTCCCCAAGTGCATCATCTGTACACTTTGAAACTTAGCTGGAATGCTGTAAAGACCTGCATACTCATCCAAGTTCTTTATGTGGGTGTTCACAGAATGAGTCCCTGCCCTCAGTGTGGCGTTCCTGGTTTCAGGGGCTGATGGATGAGGCCTGGAGCAGGAGTGGGCAGCAGGAAGAACTGTGTTAACAGAGTTACAATGTGGGGAACAGTGCAAATACCTTTCTCACTTCCCCCCAGGCTCCCTACCTGATCTACGTGGAAGTCCTTGAATGTGAAAATTTCGACACCACCAATGTCCCTGCCCGGATCCCTGAGAACCGAATTCGGAGCACCCGGTCTGTGGAGAACCTGCCCGAATGCGGCATCACCCACGAGCAGCGGGCGGGCAGCTTCAGCACGGTGCCCAACTATGACAATGACGACGAGGCCTGGTCGGTGGACGACATAGGCGAGCTGCAGGTGGAGGTGAGGGGGCTCCGGGCGGGAATCCTGGGGCCCGGCACCTGTTCTCCGGGAGCTTCCAGTGTATTTGAGACAAGACAGGCTGAGGCGAGTGCCCTGATGGGTGCGGTAGGTTGTGATGGGTATGAGAGGGGAAAGCTCAGAACAGCTCTGGGCTGGAGTAGATTCAGGTGGAACTCATTTTCCTGGAGAAGGAATTTAGGCTAAATGTAAGGAGGCACTTCGTAGTGGAGTGTAAGAAATTTAATCCAAATATTTATTGAACACCTTCTGTATAAAGTTATCTTAGGAAGGCAGAGAATAATAAGTCATATATCCATTCATTCAAGGAGTATTTATGGAGGGCCTTCTTTGTGCCAGCCCGGAGAGCTGTGTGCTAGTGAGCCTGCAAGGAGCTTATGGCCTCACAGGAGAGCAGGGAGCCGGAGTGTGGCATGGCCCAGCTTGTGCTGAAGGCAGGGTGTTACGGGAACATCTGAGGGCAGGGGTAGCGCTCACTCCAGACTTGGGGCTGGACATACACAAAAGATTTTCCGAAGGAAGTAGCATCTCAGCTGAGGCCTGAAGATGGTAGGAGTTAGCTGGACAGAGTATTCCAGGCAGAGGGAAGAGCACGTGCAAAGACTGGAAGACCTGAGATAGCTTGGCCTGTTTTAAAAATGGAAAGAAATTTTGCGTGGCTGTGATGTGTGGGTGTGAGATGAGAACTGATGAAGAGTGAGGCTGAAGAGGCCAGCACAGGCCAGATGGTGAGAAGGGTCCTGTAAGCTGCGGAAAGAAACTTGGATTTTGTTCTGGGGTTGGAGGGATCCAGAGCAGGATCTTACATAGAGCTGTGACCACACAGCCAGATGTCACTTTGCAAAAAGGCAGAATCTCTGTACTTGAGCTTATGGTCCAGCTGGGGAGACTGGAGGCAGACATTTAGGAAAATACCTACAAGATACACAAGGCAGTGTGCAAAAAGTGGTGAGTGGGGTTAAGGAGAAATGCCCTGGTACAAAAGAAGGAGAACAGAAGGGACTTGATACAGATGTTGGGGTCTGGTAGGACATTTTATAGTTAGAGACAGACGAACAGATAAGATTGAATGGCTTAGGGTGAAGAAATATTTGCTCAGAGGAACCTAGCCCCAGGGAGCTCTCAGTGTAAGGCTAGAAGTTCAGCTTTCTGTGATGGTCATGGCAGTGGTTTGCAAACTTGAGTGCACTGCGAGTCTTCTGGAGAACTTGTTAAAAATTCAGACTTTCAGATCCCACTCCCAGTAATTCTAATTCAGACCAATGGTGGGGTTTGGGAATCTGTGTTTTAGCAGCATTCCAGGTATGCGAGTGGTTCACACACTGAAAAACACTGCTAGAGGGTCTATTTGGGAGCCTAGTTTGGGGTCCAGGTGGCAGGATGGTGCATAACCAGGGAGACTTTTCTGGAGCAGAGTTTGGAAGAGAGGGCTGATTCTGGCGTGGAGATGGCAAGCACGCAGGGTGATCTGAAGGGGCGGCGGTGAAGGAAGCAACACCTGTGCTCAGCGCTTCTGACCTGCGGTCCCCTGCTCTCCCCAGCTCCCTGAAGTGCACACCAACAGCTGTGACAACATCTCTCAGTTCTCTGTGGACAGTATCACCAGCCAGGAGAGCAAGGAGCCCGTGTTCATTGCAGCAGGTGACATCCGGTATGGCCAGACTACACTGCCCCTCATTTTTCATCCCCCTCTTAGGCCCTGCCTATCTTTGTCCCCTTCCTCTCTGTCAGCCTGTATCTTCCCCTCTTCTCTCTCCTTACTCTGTCCTTGTCCTGAGGCCACCAAACTTGAGGCAGTGAAGTGTGGGTTGCGTAATTACTGGGCTACTACAGAAAGAAATTAAATTTTAAAAGCACTCCAAAAGGAATGAAGGCACCAGAGGATGGAAGTAGAGCAGCCTTTCCAGAGTGGCTTCTAGGACCACACATGTTAGAATCAAGGGGAGGGAGAGGATCTTGCTGGAAATGTGGATGCTGGAGCCACACCTGTTCTGAATGCAGAATCTTGGTAGAGGAGTGGGGGGCCTGGTAATCTGCATTTAACATGATTACAAACCACCAGGTTGGCAAAAAGGAATCAGTGGTTGTGTTTCCTTCCATGAGTCTCTCAGCCCAGGTCTCTATCTCTGTGTGCCCAGAATCAAGGAAACAGTGCAGGAAATGCCGGCATAGACAGGGACTGAGGCTCTGGGGTAACTCCTCCAAGCAAATGATATAGTTTCTTCCTGCTAGACGGCGGCTTTCGGAGCAGCTGGCCCACACCCCCACAGCCTTCCGACGAGATCCAGAAGACCCTTCTGCGGTTGCTCTCAAAGAGCCCTGGCAGGAGAAAGTGCGGTGAGCTGGGCGGGGCGGCGGCGGCTAGTGCGCCCCCTGTGCTGCCTGTCGGCCTCCCCCCGGGGTCCGTCTGGCTCCCAGGTGGTCTGAGTCCTTGCCCTGGGGGGAGTTTAATTGGACTTTTGGTAGAAGCCATGTCTCTGTCCTCAACCTGGCTTCACCCTTTGACACCTTTTGCTTCTTCACAGGCGCATCAGAGAGGGCTCCCCCTATGGCCATCTCCCCAATTGGCGGCTCCTGTCCGTCATTGTCAAGTGTGGGGATGACCTTCGGCAGGAGCTGCTGGCCTTCCAGGTGCTGAAGCAACTGCAGGTAAGAGTAGGGAGAGGGAAGGGGAACTCAGACAACCTGCAGCTCCCCTGGGGTGATCACACAGGTGGTTCTGCAGGGAGCTCTGCTGGGGACCAGCTTCCTGTCCAGGCCTAAACTGGATTTACATTGAACTGAGCCTAAGCTGGGCTCCTCCCAGGGCAGTACAGCCACAGGAGCGGCTCCACAGCGACCTCTTGTGGCCCTTTTGACCACCACCTGCTCTCATCACTGAACTTTTGGAGTGCTAGATTTGCCCTTTAGATTAAATCTCCCAACCGATTTGTGGCAAGTAGGTTGCAGTGTGCTGAGATGCAGATCCCTGAGCTCCTGGGTTGGCTGACTACAAGCAACTTCACCTGTTTAATAAGTTCTTTATATAAATATTTTCATTTTCTGGAGAAGCTTCCTCTGGACCTAAATCTTTTTTGGTCTTTTTCCCTGTTCTTTGAACTTTGAGCTCCCACTCACCCTGCTTGGGAGGTGACAGTGAGGTTTCCTGTTCTTCCCTTTTTTTGGACTTCTACCTGTAAGACGCCTTTTCCCACATGCTTCCCTGTGTATTGTCAGACCCTGGACTTCCTTTCAAAACTCCCTGGTCCTCAGTGGAACCAGGGGCTTTTACTTATTCGATGGCCTAGACTCCAAGGCCACCAAGGATGGGAACTGTCCAGGGCTGGGGACAGAGGGGATTCTGGCCTCCTCCCCGAGAGTGGAGAGAGGTGATAGTCCCAATGCCTCTGTGTCTCCTCACAGTCCATTTGGGAACAGGAGCGAGTGCCCCTGTGGATCAAGCCATACAAGATTCTCGTGATTTCGGCCGACAGTGGCATGATTGAGCCAGTGGTCAATGCTGTGTCCATCCACCAGGTGAAGAAACAGTCACAGCTCTCCTTGCTCGATTACTTCCTGCAGGAGCATGGCAGTTACACCACTGAGGCATTCCTCAGTGCCCAGCGCAATTTTGTGCAAAGTTGTGCTGGCTACTGCTTGGTCTGCTACCTGCTGCAAGTCAAGGACAGGTAGGTGAATTCCTGTCCGTCATCCTCACCTTTTCTCCAGGGTTTCCTATGTCCCTTCAAGTGTAGTTTTCATATACTCATCACCACCTTCCATTGCCAGGATGCATAGATGAAACAGGCAACATTTTGAGCAGAGACAGACGTATTCGTGTGCCATTAAGCCAGGGAGGCAAACTGACAAGTACTGGGGTAAGGGGCAAAGGAATGAAGGATTTGTGAGAGGAGCAAGGGTTTGAGCAAGCAGGGTCTTGGAGGACACAGAGAAAGCTGTGGGGGAAGGATGCTCCAGGCAGAGGGAAGAAGTGGAAGTGATTACAGCTCGGGCCACACTGCAGGGCACGGTAGCAGCACTGACGTCAGGTAAGTTGAGGCTGGGTTAGGAGGGCTTCGCTCTGAGGCTGAGGAGCTTTATTCTGCAGTGGAGGGAATGACATGATCCAGTCTCTGTCCAGTGAACGCGCCCTGTGGCCCTGTGGTGAGTTGGGGTGTAAGTAGGCCTTTAGCAATGAAGCAAGAGGTAGTGAGGCCCAGCCTGGGGGTGGCGATAGTGACTGAGAGCAGAAAGGAGAAGGTATAAGTGATGCAGTAGACACAAAGCTGAAACTCCCCGCCCTGAACTCTCTGTTCCAGCATGGTTTCCAAAACTCTTAAACATCTGTTGTTTTGCCCAGAGCTGTCATTTCTCCTTATATAACGTGATCTTTATGAAGCTCAGCTTTTCGTATTGTGGACAACGTATCATACAAAGATAATTACATCCCTGAGGCCCTGTGTTTCAAGACTGTCTCCAGACAGTGACTCCGGGTCAGTGCCCGGAGCGCCCCTATGTGTCGTGCCCCTCCCGGGGCACAGGGCAGCTGTCCTGGGCAGGCAGTGATTCAGTGGCTTGTGCTTCCAGGGCTCCCAGTGACAAGGCAGCCCAGTAAGATTAGCTGCAGGGCCGCTTATCAGAAGTACAGCACGTATTAAGTGCCTGGTATGGCCTGACATTCCTAGACTGAAAACCAGATGAAAACACTGTCAGACAGGTGTTTCCTCACAAGGGAAACAAGGGTCGGGGAGCTCTCAGAACCTGCACTCCTTCCGCCCTTTCAGCCTTGCAGATGACGCCAGCAGAGGCTTTGCACTTGAGAACTGAAGAGAAGTGTCATTACTCACATGGAATTTGGCTGCAGGCTTTAGACTGTCCCTGAAGAGTCAGGATTTTGAACCCAGAGCCCAGAGAGCCTAGAACCTGAGCCCCTGGATGGAGTAATTGGTGGCAGGGAAGCAGGTGCTGGTCAGGCCTCTGGGCTTTTTGCTAGGAAACTAATATATCTGGAAGATTAGTGTCCATCCTTTAAAAGGGGGAGAGGGGACAGGCAGCAATAAACCTTTCATAGTAACTCAAAAATGAATAGATGTCGTCAAGCCACCAGTGGAATCCTCCACTGGAGAGATGTGGCTGCAGTGCATGGGCTCCAGACTGGGAAACAGGCTGAAGATGTCTTTAACTGCTTCAGCATGAATGCTGGGGAGCTCTGCAGCTGAGCGGTTGAGGAAAGACAGAAACTGCCCCTTACTAGCTTGGGACCTTGGGCGAGGAAGTCACTTCTCCTCCCTGGGCCTGTTTCCTCACCTGTAAAATGAAAGGCTGGAGTAGGACATCTCCTAGAACTTCCTGGCTTTCAAGATTGTGTGTAGCTAAATTTGTCATGCTTTCCCAGAGTGGGAAGGACTCAGGTGAGACTGGGTTCTCCCTCTGTGCCTCCACACTCCCCCCACCCCCCGCCTTGGCCAGTCAGACCAGCCCCAGAGAAGGTGGCCCTCAGACCTGGAGCTTTGAGGCCTAACAGAGCCTCTGTTGACACTGAGGAAGCCCATTATGCTGAATGGGCCGGGCCTCACATGCTTAGCATGTTAATTGTTCCTCCTCCTGCTGGCCATTCATGTGGGAATCACAAAGACCTGGGATTTATCTTTTCTTCCTGTAGGAAGCTAGCTAGCCTGTAGGAGTTGCCCCCTGAGATTTTTTACAGAAGTGGTTTTACCATATAGTTAAGACTTTCTCCTCAAAGACCCCACACTATTTTACATTTAAACTCCACTCAGCCTGGGATCACTACTCCCTTCCGGTGGGGTTTCTGCCCTGCAGTGGGCTGATAGGAATTACAAATAAAACACAGGCGATTAGGTTCTGACTGGAGGCCTCCCACTGAGCCCAGCACTTGGCCTCTGACAGCTGGCTGGAGCACAGAGGCCTCTCCTTGCTTCCAGGTTTGGGTGCTTAGAAGCCCAATTATTGGAAAATCAAGATAATCTTAAGCTATTTTATCAAGTTGTTAACGATAGCAGATCTGACCCCACAGCCTTTGTCAGCAGTTTACTTTTCTGATTTCCTTTCTTCCCACTGATAGCTTTGGGTCCTAGGAGGTTGGACCCAGAGTTAGAGGCAGCAGGAAACGTGACAGGGGACTTCCCTGCATGGTGTCACGTGGCCAGTGTGTTGCAGTCTGAAGCTACTGCCTGCTCCTCTGCTCTGCCCCTCCGCAGACACAACGGGAACATCCTGCTGGACGCAGAAGGCCACATCATCCACATCGACTTCGGCTTCATCCTGTCCAGCTCGCCCCGAAACCTGGGCTTTGAGACGTCAGCCTTTAAGCTGACCACAGAGTTTGTGGATGTAAGTCAGGGAAGAGAAGTGCCTCACTTGTGTTCTTTCCCTGTCGTGGGAGGGGGAGCTGATGGGCTTCCTCTAAACTGGGGATGAACAGAACAGAAATAGCCGTAATAGTGAGGCTGGATGTCCTGGGAGGCTTCCTGCCTGATAAGAGGTGGGGAAGTAACTGAGTTTGGCGAGTTTGCCCGAAGGAGGAAGTGCTAGCTAAGCCCCCTTGCACACACACCTCTCCTCTCCTCCCAGGTGATGGGTGGCCTGGATGGGGACATGTTCAACTACTACAAGATGCTGATGCTGCAGGGGCTGATTGCTGCTCGGAAGCACATGGATAAGGTGGTGCAGATCGTGGAGATCATGCAGCAAGGTGGGGCTGGGGAGAAGCCAGGACCCCGTCGTGCCTCAGAATTCCTACTTACATTGGGGCCCTGGGGCACGGAACTTCCAGAAGGTTGATTCCACCTCAAGACTGGGGGCAGAGGTTCCTAAAGGGTTTCCAATTCTGGTCCAGTGCCCTGTCTCTCCCCCGAAACATTCCTCCTGACAGCCAGTCCTGGGCGGGGGAGGGAGGAGGCAGCAGAAACTACCTCCTTGGTGCACTCCGAGAGAACAGTCTGGTTTCCAGGCTCTTGGTCCCTTCCCATCTCCCCAGCCGTCGTCCAGCTCTCAGCTTCTGTCTCCATCCATCACTTGGCTCTTCACCAGCTCAGCTGTTTTCAGTCACCACCTGCCTCCCCTCTGGCCTTTGACCTCTGATTGCCCTTCCCTGCCCCATACTCACCCCTTCTGCTCTGAGCTGAGGAATATTCCTGTCTCTCACCTTTATCTGTTCTCACTGCTATTTCCTCATGGCCTCGCCTCAGAGTCTTTTGTCCAGTCTCCTCCCCTGGCTCCTCTGGGCCCTTGCCCCAGTTTCCCTCAAGGCTGTGGTGCCCACCCAGTCTGAGCTGCCAGTCTCCTCCCCATCCCTGCCCCCACCCCACAGGTTGTCGCCGTTGCTCAGGAGCATCCCCGTCTGGCCCCGTGATGACGGTGGCCCAGGTCATCTGTGAGTGTCAGACATAGCATAGGCAGAGGCCTGCAACCAGATAAGTGCCCGGCTCAGGGCCCATTCCCTAGAATCTCTTCCCTCTGGGTCCTGCAACTGCTCCCTCCACCCTTACTGGGGGAGATGTGGTGTTGGCTCTTCCCTCCTGTGCCCTCTGCCCTCACCTAGAGGGGCTTAGGAGTGTGGGATGAAGATGGGCTCAAGACAGGGCCTCCCGCCAGTTCTCCCTTATCTGCTCCAGCAGACCCGCATCCACACTGCCAGGGATCCCTGAGGTGGGAGGGAAGGGGCACTTCGGGTAGCCTGGCTCTGTACTGCCTGTGGCTACCACCGCTGCCCCTCCCACCTTTCCCTCCATGACCCTCTTCTGTCACTGCTGTCCCCAGGTTCTCAGCTTCCTTGCTTCCATGGCTCTAGCACCATCCGCAACCTCAAGGAAAGGTTCCACATGAGCATGACTGAGGAGCAGCTCCAGCTGCTGGTAGAGCAGATGGTGGACGGCAGCATGCGGTCTATCACCACCAAGCTCTACGACGGCTTCCAGTACCTCACGAACGGCATCATGTGACGTGCCCACCCCGGCCCTGGAGCAGCAGGGCACTCGGGGTCCTCCCTGGGAAGGCCCTTGGAGAAACCCTGAACCAGGAAGCCCCGCCACCCAACCATCCACCCAAGGGAAGTGGAAGGCAAGAAATACGAAGGATCATGTGGTAACCGTAGAGCTTGCCAGGGGGTGGGAGAGCCAGCCACAGGGTCCCCGCCGCCCTCCCTCCACCCCCTCCCCAGGCTGTGTCAGTATTACCGCCTGACAGACTCCAGAGAATAGAGGTGACAAATGTGAGGGACACTGAGGCCTTTCTTCTCGCCAGGGTCCGAGAGATTCTTTCCACAGGCCATCCTCTTAATCTGTTCTGGGTCCCAGGAAGGGGGCAAGAGTAGGTTCTTGGTACTTAGGACTTGACCCTGTGGTTGGCCTTTGGCCATGCTGCTGCCCGACTCCGTCCCCTCCCAGGGACTGACCCCTAGCCCGAGATCCCCTCGGTGGGTGGGCTCTCGCATAGGGTCCTGCACTTGCTAAGGTTCCCCATCCCAGGGGCTAGGAAGGGAATTATCACGGCCCCTCCAGTCTGAGGGTATTGGCCTAGCCAGGGGAATTCCTTGCCCTGATCCCTTCCCCACATCCAGGGAAACAACTCTCAATTTTTTATTTTTAATTTTTGTTTGAAATAAAGTCCTTAGTTAGCCATCTGTGTGATTTCTGAGTTGTATTTTTTTTTTGGAAGTGTGGGGTAAGCGATGGGGAGTGAACAGATGCCTCAGCGTCCAGCATACAAAAGGCACTCCACAGAACGAGGTGGAATACTGCTTTTTTCCTGCCTGTCTCTGTCAGTACCACCTCCTCCCTGAGAAGGGTCTGCCCAATTTTGACCCTCGCCCCCTCCTAGGTCATGTCCACATAAAAAGAGGAGCCTGAATGGGGATTAAACCACAAGCAGTTTTAATGGTCTGGTTTTCTCCCTCCCATTCCCCGCACTGTTTGTTAGTATTATTACTACAAGAATAAAGGATTCCTGAGAGCCTGTCCTCTTCTCTCCCTGGGACCCCCTTGACAGGACTCGTCCCCACCAACCCCCACCCCCCCTAGATTTCTGGGGAAAAAAAAGTGAAAGGCACTGCAGGGGTGGGGGAGCTTGAGTGCCAGGGAGTCTGAGGTGGGCACGAGGGCAGGGGCAGGGCTGCCGTCTGTGCCCAGAAGTGTTGAGGAGCATGCCCCTGACTGCTCCAGCTTCGGGCCCTCCCATCCTCCCACCCGCCGCCCCACATGGGGGTCTGCAGCCAGAGAATAATTAGTGTTGGGCTCAGAAAGGAGGAATGGAGGGCCCACTCTACTAGGACCCAAGGGCCAAACCCAAGGGGGGACTGCAAATAACTACCATCCAGAAAAGCTTGTCGTCCTTGGGCGGGGGGAAGAGGAGTTGAACAAAATGTGAATCAATGGAACTCCCAGCCCAGGACCAGGCAGCAGCAGTGACCCCGGCTCCCAGGGAAGAGGGAAGAGGGCTGGTCAGTCCAGGCCTGGGGCCTAGTTGTCCCCACTGCCCCCTTGCCGAGCCCTGATAAACGCCATGCCGTGTGTGCGGAAGTGGGTCTTGAGGTTGAGAGGGCTGTCACAGCTCTTGCCGCAGACCTTACAGGTCAGCGGGCCTCCAGAAGCAGGCAACGGTGAGTCTCCACCCTCTGGATCAGACCTGGAAGGAGGGGGGGCCTCCTCCTCCCCGTCCCCCAGGCCCAGGGCAGCAGCACTACCCACACCCCGTTTCTTCTTATGGCTGATGAAACGGTGCCGGCTCAGGGAGCCAGGGGAGGCAAAGCACAAGCCGCAGTCGAGGCACTGCTGGGCGCCACCGTCTACCCTCAGCCCCATGAGGCTCTGCTCCGCTGAGCCACTGCTTCGGTAGCGCAGGGCACCGTGGCCTCCTGCCCCGGGGCCACCTCTCGGGGACTTGGCTGGAGGCGTCGTGCTGTCAGGCTCCTCGCTGCAAGAGTCAGAGGACTGGCGGCGTTTCCGTCCTGGCCCCTGGAGAAGAGTGAAGGAAGTGGGCCTCCTCGTCGTCCCCCACTGTCCCTGGCACACCCACCCACTCCCACAGCCCTAACACAGCGGCTTGAGCCTCTGCCTACCTGGGCTCTGGCACCGGGGCCCCGAGGCAGGGCACTCCCCCGGCCTGGGGACTGGGCCCCAAGCGGCAAGCCGTGCCGGACCTGGACGTGTTTCTCCAGGATCAGGCGGCTGCTGAAGGTGCGTTTTCCCTCTGTGCAATACCTAAAGGGGAGAGCGGGCGGGTGGGCGCCAGGGGCACAGCCCAAAGACCGAGGCCCGTGGCTTGAGCAGATGGGCTCCCAGAGCAGAGGGAGGCCTCAACCTTCAGTCCATTCAGACCTAAGAGGCAGGGGGAAAGGTATTTTGGGGAACCAGGGTTGTGGAGGGGGACCCTGCTGGGCAGAAAAGAGGAAGGGGCAAGAGGGCAAGGGTTACCTGCATGGGTAAACTCGCTTGATACCCTCGTGATTGACCCTGACGTGACGCCTCAGGCTGGGGGCGGAGCAGAAGGAGCGCTCACACAGGCGACAGGGAAACTTTTTCACTGACTAGGAGAGCAGGGGGAGGGGGATCTCAGAGCCAGGCTCCAGGACCCCATCCCCATAGCCACACAGCTCAAGCCCAAGGCTGCCCCTCCAGCCCATCTTGCTCCCCTGGGGGCGCCCCACTCACCTTGCCGTGCTCCTTCTTCATGTGAGCCACATACTCATCACGCTCAGGGAACCAGGAGTGACAAAGGCCACAGGTCCAGCCTCCAGGGCCCCCACCTCCGCCCTTGATGCCTTTGCTCCCCAGTTCTCGCCGGGGCCGTTTGGTGGGGCGAGGGGGCGAGGGGGAGCTGGGCAGTTCCTCCTCTTCTGAGGATGAGGACGACTCCTCGGTAGGGGCAGCTGCTCCTCCCCGAGACACAGCCATCTCCTCAGGCTCAGTCTTGGGGGTCAGAAGGGCACCCCCAGCCCCTTTCCCAGCAGTCTCCTCCCCTACACGCCCAGACTGATGGGTGTTCTGTGAGGCAGATGAGAGAAGATGGCTGTTACGGGGGAAGGTCTGGCTTTGTCAGAGTCCTGGTTTCTCCCCTGCCCCCACTTCCTAAGGGGCGTGTGACCCTAGCCCCAGGTCCACACAGCTGAGCACCCAGCCTCCATCCCTTGACTCCTGTACCTTAAGATGTTCCAGCATGGTCCTTTTTTGGGCAAAAAGCAGAGGACAAGACGGGCACTTAAAGACACTGACACGCTGGGGCAGCAAGTGCTGGTCGAAGTGTGAGGAGAGGAGGGGTTTGTGAGTAAAGACCGTGTCACACATGGCGCACTTGTAGATCATCCTGTGCGGGTGGAGAGGACAGTGAAGACACCCTGCCCCATCGAGGCCCAGCCCCGCTCCAGCCCACCCCTCCTCATGCTCCCTCCCCGGGTCTCACTTGGCCTGCTGCGTGTGGAAGCTAGGATGCTGGGTATAGAGGTGGGCGTGGGCGCTGGGTGCAGACTTGAAGGCCATGGGGCAGATGGGGCACTTGTGGAAAACCTCGCAGTGCGACGTCTGGATGTGGGACTTGATAGAGTTCACACCCCCAAACACCACTGCACAGCTGGGGCACCTTGGGGAGGAAGTGGGAGGCACGGTGGTGAGATGAGGGGGCATCTCACAGCCACCCTCCACAACACACTCATTCTTAGGGACTAGGTGGACTCTGAGAAGTTACTCAGCGGTGGAACATGTGCAGGTGGAGAAAGAAGGAAGCTGCAGAGACCTAGTTTCCCAAGGGAGGCCTGTGGAGGCAGAGCTGGGGCCACAGAGGCGGCCCTCCTTGCTCCCAAGGTGGGGAAGGAAAGACAGAGAGATCTCAGGCCATGCTTCCCAACACACCAAGGTCGAGGGGTTCCACAGAAGAGATAGGGCTCTCCTTGAGAGGCCATCTGAAAGACTAGTGCTAGGAGCCATGAGGCCATTAAGTGCAGGGGGAAAGTGTCGAGACACTATGGGGAGGAGAGGTGGGAGGCACCTGTATCCCACGCGGCGAGAGAAATGCAGACAGGCCTCCCGGAGATGGGTCTGAAAATTGGCTTGCAGGAAGTTGCCCCCGCACTCAGGGCAGACGTGGGGAGGTCGGTTCTTATGCATACGCTGGTGGGCGCTGAAGCTGCAGCGACTGGGGAGCATCATGGGGCAGGTAGGGCACACCTGTCGAGCGGGTTGAAACAAGGTGAGTCGGTGAGGAGTGGTGTGTCCCCTATTCCTTCTCCTAACCAAGACCGCAACACCTTCCTAGATCCTGTCCCCATGGGATCTGGCTGTCCCCTTCCCAGGGAGGGGCTGCAAAAGGCAACTCACATTGCTGGTGGCCCCAGCGGCAGGGGGCCCGAGCTGCTGGAAGTGGGCGGCCATGCCAGCCTTGTCCCGGCACTGCTCCTTGCACTCCAGACAGCGAAAGCACGTGTAAGCAGAGGTGGCAGGGACAGCAGGTGGCTCCGTCGAGAGCGGCAGCACAGGGGGCTCGGCAGCAATCGCAGTAATGGCGGAGGAGGTGACGGCCCCGTCCCCCTTGCCCAAAGCAGGCAAAGCTGGAGGTCCGAGGGCAGGTGGGACAGCCAGCAGGGGCGTGATGTCCGGCTGCCCCACCATCTGGTCAAGGGCCACCGGCCTCATGACCAGGTGTGAGCACTGCATGACGAGCCCCTTGTCCTTGTGCTCGCGGGCGTGCAGCAGCAGGCTGCACTTGTTGAAGAAGACCAGGCGCCGGGCGCAGTGGTTGCAGGTGACCTCGATGCGCATGCTCCGGCGGTCGTAGTGCCGCGCCAGGCTCTTCTCCAGCGAGAAGGCATCCCCGCACTCCAGGCAGCGGTAGCCTGTCGGCGGCAGGGCCAGCCCGGCCTCAGCAGGTGGACTCAGGTTTGGCCGGTAGGCAGGCAGCAGGTTCTTGCTGTTGAGGATCTTGTTGAAGGCCTCCACCAGGCTAGACTGGGTCCGTGAGATCACCGTGCCACCCCCTGCCCCTGGCCCCGTGGCCGACTTGGAAGGCTGCACCATCACCACCGAGGCACCATTCACCTTCTGTCCCCCTGTCCCCAGCCCTGCCCGCCCCTCTGCCTTAGGCAGGGCTTGGGGCACCAGACCCAGCACATTCTTAGCCATCGTCTTAGGGCTCGTGGCAGTGCCCCCAGGCAGAACCACAGCTTTGCGGGCCACACTGGCCGCCATCAGCATGGCAGTACTTGCGTTCTGAATGGTGGCCACAGGGAGCACTGTGCCCTTTAGCCTCGTGCCATCACCCAGTTGGACACTGACCACCTTTGGGCCCTCAGGTGTCGGGGTTGCAGGGGACAGCTTCAAGAGGCTAGCCTCTGCCAGGAAGCCCGCCTCAGCCAAGGGGGCAGGGGGATCAGGGTCTGAGGGGACCCGGGTTACAGTCCTTGTGATGTTCCCACAGGATGTTTTAATGGTCTTGATCCGCACCTTGAGAGGCCTAGAGGAGCTGGAAGAGGCAGGGGAGTCATTGCTGTCCTCATCTGCAGCCTCGGCTCCACTAGAAGGACTCTGGGGACTTCCTGGGGGAGACTTGTCCACTGGTCCCTCATCCTCTTCTTCTTTTAGGGACTGACAGCCGGGCACTTTAGGGGAGGCGAGAGGGCTCTGGTGCCCTGGAGA